AAGATGGCATTCTGAAATTCTAAATCAGGTAATCGAAAAATTCTTTGCGCAGTATTAAGAGAAAAAAAATTGCCTGTTTCTGTGGGATGGATTTGCCATATTCTTTAAAACACATGTGTTGCATTTCATATTCTTATGGAGAAAGGATTACAATTCCAAAGTATCCTAGGCCTAAGGAGAATACAAGAATGGGAAAGGCTATCTCCCTTAAACTATTCCAGTTTGGATATTTTTGCAACTGAACTGAAATTGTAACTGAAATTCCAGCCCCAATGGTGGTCGTAAATCGAGGATTATCTGCCAAGATGATGGTAACGGAGTCTCTAAAGAATACTGCTAAGACATTCCAGGAATACATTAGGTTAACTCCAATAAAATAATTTGTTGCCATATGCCACTTTATAGAAAACAACATTTTTCTAACACAGAGAAGTGGGTTTATGGTTGAGCTATGGTTTAAATGGGGAGCCCTTTTTCAGCTCTTCTTCTTGGAAATCATGCTGCCTAATTTCTGAGGCTTTGATGTTAGTGCTGTAAATAAGGCAGAATTAGCTTGTCCCAAAGGTGCTTTTTCAAGAGGCAACTGAAGTTCCTGGTTTTTCTTTGAAGAAACTTCTCTCCCAATAAGCTTCTTCAGCTCAGGCTGGTTGGTGGGGAGAGCTGGTCATTTGCATTCTTTGAAAGAGTCTTTGAGGCTACTTATCTGTGTCCTCAGAGTCACCTGAGTAGTGCAAATGGGCTTGGAGCCTTTTTGGAACTGCTGAAGGCCCCCACACCCATTTGCACTGCTTAGGTGACCCTGAGGACAGAGATAAACCTCCAAGTGGCCTCAACGACTCTCGAAAAGGATGCAAATGACCAGCTGTCTGCGAGGAGTATAAATCCTTCCAATTCCCCACCATCCAGCCAGAGCTGAAGAAGCTTCTTGGGATGGGAAGCGAAATATCTTCAAAGAAAAGCAAGAAATCCCAGTTGCCTCTTGAAGAAACACCTTTGGGACAACCAGGACCTGGATGATGGAGAACCTTCCCTAGGCAGGATTCACTTCTGCTCTTTTTAAGACCCTATAAAGGATTTCATCGTTAGCACAACCTGAATCTTTGTTTACGCTGGAGAACGTGGCAGCCCTGAATCTAGGGAATTACTTTTCTTCTCGACAGCTTATGTGAAATTTGCTTGCAATTTATCTCTGTGTTTACAGTCCTGGGGCTTAGATGCTCTGAACCAGTATGCATAACCCTAACCCTCCCAGGCTGATAGCAATAGCAGTTAGACTTATATACCGCTTCATAGGGCTTTCAGCCCCTTCTAAGCGGTTTACAGAGTCAGCATATTGCCCCCAACANTCTGTAAACCGCTTAGAGAGGGCTGAAAGCTCTATGAAGCGGTATATAAGTCTAACTGCTATTGCTATTGCTATTTGAATCGGCTTTTCCCTCAGACGGGAACTGCAGCCTTAAACGTCAGAAATGAGCAGCTCTCCAACTTCACTTAACAAATCTCAGCTTAGATCCTCAGGGCGTCGTCTGCCAAATTCTCTATTGTGTTGTTGTTGTTTTTGTAATTACCGCTTGAGTGCGGTGGCCTAGGGGTGGCGCGTTCATCTCAAACCAGGAGGCTGTGATCCTAGGCAACAAGGGGGGGATTCAGCCGGTTCTTGCTGGTTCGGGCAAACAGGATGTTAATTTTACTTCCGGTTTGGCAAAACGGTACTTCCGACAACTGGCCGGCCCCGCCCCTCCCAGGAGTCCCCACGTGCCCCGTTCTGTCTCCCAGCTAAGTGCAGGGAGGCCTCCAAGGCCCAAAATGGGCCATGGGGGAGGGGGGTTGCAACCCCACCTCCCGTGGCCTGTTTTTGCTCCCAGGGAGGTGCAGGAAGCCGAGTGCTGCCTGTCACACCCCCTGGCCACACCCACCATGGCCACGCCCACCCAACCAGTCATTACGTCAGAGAACTGGTTGCCAAGTTAGTTGAATCCCACCATTGCTAGGTTGAGGCAGATATTTCTCTCTCTCTGGGAACCCTGGGAATATATATCAGCTGAACAAAACTCCACATTGGCAATGGGGAAAGGCATCTGGCCAGTAAAACACCCTCAGTTGCCCAGACTCCCATCCCGCAAGGGATCATGGGGGGCTGTTCAATGAAGAGGATGACCGCTTGAGTGCTTTGCTCATAAGAGGAGACGTCGCGTGGACTTAAAAAGTTTTTTTTCCCCTGCTGTTTTTAGGATATTGATTTCAATTCAGACGACGAACTGGATGCTTACATTGAGGATCTCATTACCAGGGGAGATTGACGAGCCGAGCTGCAGCATCCGGGTGAAATTAGAAAGTCATATGGTTACTGTGTCTTCCGGGCCTCCGGTAGGTGTAGAGCAAGTGGCGCAGGGAGATGGGCCGGACACACCTGTCCCTTGCAGAGTATGTCAGTGTAGAAAACGTTCGTATTTTTCTCTTTTATATAACGACATTAGCAACTGTACTGTTAAGGTTTCTAACCTTTTGTTTATAAATATTTGTTTAAAAAAAACCAACAAAAAAAAAAAGCCCTTAAAAACCCCCAAAAATATAATGGTTCATGGAGCAAGCTTTATTTGTAGTACGGATGGCTTCATTTTGAATTTTTAACAATTTTTGAAAGCTACAAGAAACCAAGTGTTTGGAGGAATGCACGCGCTGGAGCCTGGTCAGAGAAGCACATAGGAGCAATTTGTGGCTGGTTCCGCCCTTGGAAGGAGGAGAAAATCCACTCCAAAGGTGTAACAGAATTGTTTTCTCTAATTGGAGAAACACATTTTTTTTCTGACAGCAGGAAGGGGATATTGTCAACCACAAAACCACAATTTGCGGCTCACGGCCTTTGCATTTATGCTAATGCGGACGTCTTCCTAAAGTTGGCCGCCGACCCCTGACCACAATTTGCACGCTTCATCTGGAGCTGACCCAGTGTTCTGCAAGCTATGGGAAGGGAGGTATTTAATCTTGCTGGTTTTTTTGATCCATGCCCCGGTATAAAAAATCCTGGAAGCTGAAATTGTACATTACGCTATTTTAGTCTCTGGACTGAAGGGAAACCTGGCTGAGCTCAAGCCCTGAAAACTAACAGAATTGGGAAGGAAAATCATCTGAAAAGCTATCTTTGCTTCAGTACTAGCCATCTGTGGCACGACAAAACCGCGCTAGTCAAAATCGCGGTGATAAAAGCGCGGCGCTAAAGCGCGGCAACAGAAGGGCGCTTTAAAACGGCGCCGCAGCAGAAAGCCGACTTCAATTAAGGTAAGGGTTA